CAAAATCAAAATCAAAAAATACATGTTTAATAACTAGAAAAAAGCCAAACTTCTGACATTGGCCTCTGAGATGGACTTGAGTCTAGGGGAACAGACAACGTACCTACCAGGAAACTAGGTAGGACCAACCTTTGTTCCAGTCATACAGAAAAAGGCACTCAAAATTCTTTCTTCTGTTAACCTCTCAGCTTCCAACAATGTGCCTGGCAATTTACCATTTATAAACCTGGGCTCCTCTTAACCTTGAAGATTTTGTGATTTAAGCATCTCAACACCGTGATCATCACCATCCCTGGGCAAATACTTCATGAAGCATCTTAACACTTGCTAGTACCTTGTTGCCCGCCTGCAAGGTTGCATAATCTAAGAGAGATAATGTTAATCCAAACATAGGAGACACAAGTCATTTTAAATAATCAATTGAGTAAAATAAATAATAAGTGATGTATTTTTGTCACATGTAAATGGAAGAACAAAGTGCATAAAAATGAGACGGCTAATAAAGAGAGTTCAAGAGAATCACAAGTTTAGCCAGGAAGGAACCAGTTATTCTTTGAGCAAAGGGCGGATTCCTTTGGCATCTTGGTAAGTGGTGTGATGCTGAGAGAGATCAATCACACGGAACTTCAGCTTGGTGGAGAGGGAGTTCCTAACATGTGGCTCACAGAGTGGCCAGAAGCAGTGCAGACCTGACAGAGAAGAGCTACTGCAGTCAGTCCCAGAGGAGCCTGGTGGGTGAGAGAAGGCAGTGAGCAGGAGCTGTGCTAGGGGCTCCGAGACTGGGGAACAGGTCAGGAGATGGAGTGCAAAGTGGGTCAAAACTGATTTCAAGACGTTAGCTATGAATGGAGGAGAGAATGTCAGGGAGCTGCCCAATACCAGGCGTGGGGTCAGCAGGACACATATGGCCTCTTATTGTTTGTAAGGCAAGGTTGGATCTTTTGGCATGTTTTCTAAAATTATGTGTTAAAGAAAATTGACTGCCAAAGTATTGTTACTACTATCTTTAAAAGACACTGGTTGGTTTCTTTAAGATACATCTTTGATGTGTTAACAGTATATCATTTCAGTCTACCTTTTAAACTTCCATGTCTAGACATTTAGACATGATGCTCAATATTATTTCTAAACTGCTTCTGCCTGTGTCTACAATATCTCTATCTTTTGAAGATATGGCAAGCCTAACAGTATTTTTATTAATCCCACTTGCTAGGTGTGGTAGGCTGAATTCTAAAACTGGTCCCTCAAGATTCCATGCCCTGGAATCTGTGGAAGCTGTGAAAGTGTTGTATTATATGGCCTAGTTCACCTTTTAAAAGGGAGATTATCCAGGTAGGTCTAATCTAATCACATGAGCCCTTAAAAGCAGTGAGTTTTCTACTGCTAGTGGCAGAAGAGAAAGTCAGAGAGATTGAAGGCACTTGAAGGATTTCATGTTCTATTATTGGCTTGAAGATGGCGGGACCACGTGATGAGCAATGCAGGTGGTGTCTAGAAACTGAGAGCAGCCTTGGGCTGACAGCCAGCCAGGAGATGGAGGCCTCAGTCCTATGGTAACAAGGAGCTGTATTCTGCCAACAAGCTGAAAGCACTTGGGAGCAGATCCCTCCCCACAGCATCCAGATAAGAGCTCAGCCCAGCTGACACTTTGACTTTGGCTTTGTGGGACCCTAAGCAGAGGACCCAGCCAAGACCACCAGACTTCCTACGTACAGGACTGAGATAATAAATGAGTGTTGTTTTAAGTTGCTAGTTTGTGGCAATTTGTCACACCGCAATAGATCTGTTATGTCTAGAAAAATGGGACCCCTGGCTGAGTGATGGAACAAATAAACCTCATCTAAGCATTCATTCTAAATTTCCGTGATCCTGTGGCTTCATCTTCTATCACATTTGTTTGTTGGCATACATTCTACTTTGTTGGGCACAAGAATATGATGAGTCCTCAGTGTGCTCCTCACTGGGAGCCTGGAATGAATGATGCTGCACTTAATTGCATATCAGCTGGGGCAAGATTTAGCTCCATGAATGCTGAAGTCAAGTTCACCAGCTGCCCTGTGCAGTGAGTGAAATCACTCCAGACAAGTTAAGATTTGCCTCAGCTGTCACTCGCTCCTTGGAATTCTTTTCATTTACTGGGAGGAAATGTAAAAACAAAAATACATCACAGACTGTTAAGATCGGGGTGCTGTGTGCAGAAAGAAAAAAACCCTTCACTCTAACATCAGGCAGATTTTTCAAAAGGTCACCAGAGAATGCAGCCTTAGCTGCTAATGCACTCGGACAAATGTGCGGGCGAATGTGTGCAGCTTACATATTCATGAGGGAGATGCCATTTGGATACATCTCAGAATGAAGGAGCGGCAAAGCAGACAAAATCTGCAAGACTGTCCCACCTTCACTTTAGAACTGGGGCTGTGAAGTACCTCCTGAGCAAACCCTTTGAAAACTTGATCTAGAACAGAAAAATGGCCTGCTTTATGTCTTGTCTTCTTTCTTTCCTCACTGTAGGTGTGAAAAGAGGCAGAAGCCCCAGCAAAGTCTCTATTTTCAGGCCTGATAAACTAATAGATTGATGTCACCCTTAAATCTTCTTGGAAGGACACAACCCTGTCTACTGGGTAGAACCAAGCGGCAGCGATCATGAGTTCCTGCTCTTTTCTTATTAGAAAATCAGAATTTTCTCGTTTCGAAATGGGGGAAATAATACTTCCCTCATAGGGTTATCTTGAGGGTTAAGTGGTAAGTGGATGGAAAGTCTTCAGCACGGTGCCTGGAGTTGTAAGGGCTCCACGGAGCCCCTTATTGATGTTATTTTCTCTTCCAGCTTCTCTGGAGAAGGCACAGGGTTGTGTGTCTGGAGCACACAGGTTAATTCTTGATATGGCTCTTGCAGTGTCAGATTCAGTTCTTTAAGTTTGCAGTTAGCAATGGCTGAGCAGCACAAGAGTTGCAGGACCCTGTGAAGCTGGAGGGTCATTAACTTAGTTAAAATGTGCCAAGCACTTTCAAATACAGCACTACTTGAAGGGTAGTGTTTGGAAATGATCCCGATAAACTTGTGACAATCTGTGTAGATAATTACATATTTGGATATACACACCTAGTTGACAATCATTCTCAATTATATATAGGGTGATGTGGAGAAGTACAGAGCCCTGTGGCAGGATTTTTGTAGGTAACTAATGTCTCTATTAGATTTTATAGTTTATGAAGTCTTCCATAGCAATTATTATAACAGTTCGTTTAGGTTATAATACAGCATCATTGTTATTATTATTATCCCCATGATATGAATGATGCCATTAAGATTCAGGAAGGCAAAGTGACTTGTCCTAAGTTGTTCTTTAAATTCCTAGGGAATAAGATTGTTTTTCTCTCTAAATATCCTTAGGAAGGGCAACTTACTTCCAAGGAGTTATTGACACACTCAGTTGGGGAAAGACAGATTAATTCTTTTATGCCACCAGGAAACCAAATTAGAGATTATCATTGTATAGTACAAGGATTTGTAACAGTCTAAATTTGTTATGGAGACAGGTAAATTAAGGAATCAAAGCTACAAATCTTCAGCGTGTTTTGCGCATAAGAATACAATTGAGGGGGCTGGCCCCGTGGCCGAGTGGTTAAGTTCGCGCGCTCCGCTGCAGGCGGCCCAGTGTTTCGTCGGTTCGAATCCTGGGCGCGGACATGGCACTGCTCGTCAGACCACGCTGAGGCAGCGTCCCACATGCCACAACTAGAGGAACCCACAACGAAGAATACACAACTATGTACCGGGGGGCTTTGGCGAGAAAAAGGAAAAAATAAAATCTTTAAAAAAAAAAAAAAAAAGAATACAATTGAGGAAGAGCGTGATGTATTTGCAATGTTTAGAAAGAAGGCGGAACCACACAATGGGCCTCTTAGGCAGTTCTACTTCTCCCTAACTCATTCATAAGATAAATCTTTGAGAAAGGAGAGACATATTTTGAGGTTTTTCTTTCATTTCCTAGCATATATCTGTGGCCATGGAAAAATAAATTTCTTGCCTGTAAAATCAAAAAGTTGAAAAAAAATTCTGGAGTTAGATCCACTTAGAAGCTTATTTATAACAGCTTCATAATTTCGGAGTTTTGAAGTCACTTCCATATAAATACATCTCTTCATCCATTTTCCATCCTCTGTCCACATTTTGAAACAGGCAGAATCTCAGTAACAAAACTACTACAGGCAGTGTTACAAAGATTGCGGGGAAAAGAATTCATAAAGTGACCCCCTGGAGAGTGTGTCTCAGGAAAGGGGCAATCTTACCCCTTTTCCTTGGTGACACAGTTAGAAATTACAAATTGGTTATGTGTTCAAGATGTGTTTTTCCCCACACCAATACTCAGCTGTTGCTTTTCCTCCAATAGATATCATTTCAGTTGCTACCCAGCCATCAGTTTTCTATGGTTCCCAAAACACAGGGCCTTGGGCAGTTGCCTGTAATTTGCCATAGGTTGGCTTTGCATTAACACAGACACTGATTTCTGTAGTAATGGTAGTTCCATACATTTCACTCTGGTGCAAATTAGAGTGATGCTGCTAAAGCTTTGCCAGCGGACTTCTGCCTTAAGGTGGTGAGATTTGGATAATCTGACAAAGTCAATAAAGTTGAAAGGATTCTATCACTTGGAGAAGAAGATAGGTCTTTTAGATAAGCATGGACATAACCATAAACCAGGGGAATCCAATATGTTCTTTCCCTCAGGGTTGGGGAGGGATAAGGAATAATTCCAGAATGTCCTGATGGGTAGTATAAAATGGGTACACAGAAGAATGCTGCTGGGAGAGGTGAGCTGGGATACATGGAAAGGTCCTTGGGAAAATAACAGGAGGAAATGAGCTGTCAGTAGACATTCTGTTGCTTGGTACCAAGTCCTCAGTTTGTTGTATAATCTGTGTTATTAGAGCACCTGAGTTACGAGTGGTTTTGCTCTTCATCTTGTGATTACAAAAAGAATTGTACCTTGTGCCAGGTACTATTCTGGAACTGCAGAGGACCAGTAAGCTGCCTGACCAGTGCCAAAGATCAATCAGGAGGACTGAGCATCCAACAAGGTAGAAGCAGGAGCCAGGACTCTCTCTCAAGTGGACCAAAGGTCAGGGAGCTGCCTCAGTGACTTATCCATATCAGTCCATGCATAACATGATGTGAATGGAATTTTTCCTTTCGTACTATTGGGAGAGCAAAGGTGCCAGGTATCTCACGTTCTATGTGTAGAGTAACATCAGTAGGTGGGCCAGCTATCTCTCTGCCCCTGCCCCCCAGGGTGTAGTGAGAGGTACCAGTCCTGATAACAGGTCCTATAACCAACCACCTTCCCTCAGAAGCTAGGCCCCCCAAGTTAACATGGGCATCAGGGTGAGGTGGGGGCGGTTGGGAGATAAAATGCTGCCTTTAAAAAAATATTGGTGGGGAGAAGTTATTCTTTCCATATACATATATTAGCACCTCCCAAGACAAGGATGGGAGATGCCAAGATGAATGCTAAGAAAGTTTGCCAAAGGGATGTCAGGGGGAGGGGTGTCTGAACCCTTCTGTCCTCCCCAAACCCTACAGAGTCAGAAACTAAGGATCTTTTCTTTGAAATATGAAAGCCATTGAACCTGCTGAGTGCAAGGACCTGCTGAGTAGACCTTGAAGAAAGGTCAGCAGGGAGAGAAGTGGGTAGAACAGTTTGCACAGACACAGCAGTGCTCCCACCATTTGGGGTGACAAGGATGTGAGAGTTGAGTGGGTTGGGGCTAGGCTATTTTCTGGAAGAGAAGTTCCATGAAGTAAGAGGCTGTGGGGCTGATGGCCAGTGTGGGAGCTAAGAGTGGGTAAGTGGTCTGGCTGCAGCCCACCTCCAAAATCTGGAAATCTTGCAGTGGGAAGGCTGGCCCTGGAAGGAACCCTATGTGTTCTCCAGATCAGTGTTTGGCACCCTGACACACAAACAGCAACAAAGCCAGTTATTCTAGATCAGAGAAACGGCAATGACAACAGAGAGAATCCAATCGTCATCTTGCTTAGTTGAGTAAGGAGGCATTGGTCCCATCCTCTTCTTTCTCGCTGCCCTAACTCCAGAGGCGTCAGCACCTAGAAGAGGAAAGGGAAGACGCCTGCTAGGGCAGATCAGAACACCTCTCCCTAAAGCCACCCTCCGTCCCCTCCACACACATTCACATAGGAGCTTAGTTTGAGCTAGGGAGAGAAAAGGAAAAATATTTGAATTCATCAACACTGAAGTTTTAACGAATAGCACCAAGTTTCAAATGCTGGAATTAGAGTGTACTACTAAGTACAAGTGGCTGAAAATGTTTTTAAGGGAGTTGGTCGGGAAGAAATAAGACGCTCACTGTTTACACACAGAACAAACTGAGCCTCCTCAATAAACTGGAGCAAATATAGCTGGGCAGACTCAGAGTGTAAAGAATGCAATTCATCCTGCAAAGTGAGTGCCACCAAGAAGAGAGGGAGAGAAGGGGAAAGAAGAAAGGAAATAGGTGGGGGTAGGAAGGCAGGGAGTACAGCCCTTTATCTGCTTCCACCAAGTAGGGGCTGTTGATGCTTCCTAAGGGGCCTGAGGAACTGCCCTCGAAGGCACCCTTGTCTAGAGGGTATTCTTAAGTCTGTCAAACTACATCTAATCATTGAATAATAAGCAAAACCTATGGCATCTCCCTTTCATAATTGTCATTTAAGTGTTTTCCTCTAGATTGAACATACTAGTTCTTTGCATCATCAAAATCCTTAATCATTTATTCACTTTCCCTTGGTCTAAAATGTGGTCCCTTTGGCTTTTCTTTTTTAGTATTTTAACAGGAATCATTTCCTGTCTTTCATTTCCCTTTATGTGCATTAAGTAATCATTTGATTTCATGCCTTGAATGTAAGAGGCAGTGGCCAAATCAATACCACTGAACACGTTTGCAAGAGAAAAGAATTTTTAAATAAATTTCCCTAGGCATGCAAATAGATGAACGGCCACGATAGATTATCCCTCCCATTTCTAGAAAACATGATGGGAATAGATTCTTTCCACTAAAACAGAAAGTGTTTATTTCTTGCCATTCTTTGCACTGTTCAGGCCAAAAAGCACAGGCAATGTCTGTAGTTATTTGGACAAAGTGCAGCCACTGAGATTGCCTGCTTTTTGAGAAAAAAAAAAAAAAACAACTAAACAAAAAATCACACTTTCTCTTTTCTTGATCAAGGAAATTTTATCTGCCTCCCCACTTCCAACCTGGCTAAATATAATCGTCAAGTTGCCCAAACAAGTTACCTTCAAATTGAGAATTTTATTTAGAACAATCAACATAGATGGCTGGGGCCACCCCAGCTTGAAGGGCCATGTATACATCATCTTTAATGCTGGGAGGAACTTTCTGGAAGAATATAAATTTTACTCCCACAAGATTTTGATTTTATAGGTGATCATAACTTTTGGAATTCCTAATAAAGAAGAAAAAGAGGATTGTTTTTAGTGGATGCTTTTAGAAGAAACAATTTGATGCATTCTGCCAATACGAACTCTTAAAGGCTGTGCAGGTGCCTCGTAAATACCCAGGCTTAGCTTATGTCAGGAACACATTTATTGCTTTGATACTATTAATAACATAGACATTTACTATCTGGTATGGCTCTGTAGTAGAGCTTACATCAGGCACACACAGACCACAGGATCTAAGAAAAGCTAACTTTTGGGTACACTTGAAAGCATAAAGCAGTGAAATATATTCCTGGTGGTGGATTAGTGACTTTTCACAGAAATCAGAGGTTTTTCTTTTTTCTGCTCAACAATCTTCTTAAGAGAAATGACGAAAGTCAATATTCATATATAGATTTGAATATATATACACACACACATAATTTTTTTCAAAGATGATCACGATGCTTTAAAATTATTGTTTTCTAGATTCCCTTTTCACAGTTTTTTTTTTCACCCCTCAATGAGGGTACTTTGTTCAACAACAACAATAATGAAACATTTGCAGTGAGTGGCTGAATTCTTCATTCTCTCTTCTTTGCTTTTGGGTATTCTGGAAAGGTGTTTGTTTGCCCCCATATAATCCTGCCCTGGAGAGGAGAGCTCTCCAGGCTAGGGGTAAAGGCTCTGAGAAGAACCTCAGCAGGCAGCGCCAAACTTCTGTGCTCCTATGCCCACTAAAGAATTTTTTTTTCAAAAACTATGCACCTTTTCAGTTATTTTTAAGTTGACATCTAAATTTGCTTTATTTATATGTTTTAAAACATTTGGTTTTTTGTTCCTAGGAGATAGAAAATATTGAATGTCTTGTAAAATGAAATAGGATGGGCATTGACTGTGATTGGATAAATATTTCACAATAAGATTTGATTAAATACATCTAATTGTCTTACGAGATAAAGCATGCTGAGTAGCAAAGGCAGCATGCAAAAATTATAGCTGTCAGTTTACCAAGGTATCTTAAACTTTTTGGTAGTCCTATGAAACACTCCAGTTATGAGGAAAAGAAACAAGATCACTGATCTGTGTTTCCTCAGTTGTTCTGAATTCAGAAAAATTGCAAGATAGGCTAGAATACCTTCCTTTTTAATGCAAGCTTCACCTTCACAGATGCATATATAAAACAGGGGAAGAGAGGAGGCCCCTTGTGTTTAAGATGCCTTGATGAATCATGAAAGGAGTCTTCTCCTAAACCAGTCTTTCCCTGGATTCCTTTGTTTGGGGGCTTGGAGACTTTTACACCCCAGGGAAATGCTCAGTGGTAAGATTTGGTGTGTGCATGAAGTGATGCCTTTCTTCAAATCAAATCAATTTTTGGAAAGAACACATATGAAAGTTGAAGATCTGGAAATTAAAACTGTGTATGCAAACCCCTGAGCATTTGCAAAGCCCAGTGTAAAGACCACCTATCTAAGCAATATCTTCCTTCATCTCTTACAATCCGGTGCAATTTTACAAGGCACTAGGGAAGTGAATTTTGACCTACTCCCAGCCCTTTGTCCCCTTTTTTGCAGTGAGGCTGACTAATTAACAGAAGGAGAATAATGACAACATCATGATTTAGTAGTGTGCTGGTAAGGGTTTAAAAACTGGCTCTTGGAGGAAGGAAGAAGCCTGATTTATAGTGTTTGCCCATTCTGTGGTGTAAATACTCCCATCATGGCCTATTTCAAGCCATGACATAAAGTAATAAGGCTTGCAAAATTCCTGAAATTAGCAAGCAGCTCACAGGCTCTCATGAGCTGGTCTGAGCCAGCTTAAGCACATCAGTGTGTCATGATTTGTTGATTATGCTGTTCTGATCAGAATTAGCTGGAGAAACAGCGGGTTTGCAGTCTTCCAGGATTTTTTTAGTATGCATGCTTACATTTACATACTTATAAAAAATCTAACACCTCTCTTGAGGTTTCCACTTGACACCTCCCTCTCTGTCTGTACCATTCTCTGGCCTGTACCTAGAATGATGGCTGGCCTGTCCTTCCTTGGTGACAGCCCTTACCATGGTCTTCTTCCAAGTATGTGGAAAGCACATTATGCTTCTGGGATGAAAATTATGCAGTTGAACAAATGTCTATTTTTTAGTTTGTCTTATAAAACACAGTTGTTGCTAAACTGGCCTGTTTTATTCATTATCTCTGCAATTTTGGTTTTATTTTTTTGAGTATTTATAAAATACTATTTGAGCTTGAAGATACCCTTATACTTAATGGGCCATGTCCTTTTGATTTGGTCCCTTCGAAGCAGACCCTGAGATAAGGATTTGAGTGCAATTTGGGAGGGGCAGGGAACACCGATAGGGAAGTGGGAAATGATGTGGAAAAGAGAAGGCAGCCAATAAAAGGTGCTTTATTAAGCGAGCTACCATAGTGAGTGACTAGAGCTAACTCCCATGGGGAAGTGATATAAACGCATACTTCAGAATTACCCTGCTGAAGAAGCATGGGACCTGGGACATTTATACATGAATCCATGAGAATCATTGGCTGAGGGCTGCTTCTGAGGTTGCTCATTTCCTGACCCTTCCATTTTGCTAGGTATGTGGGAAGAATGGTCCTTAGTTCCGGGAAACATCCTCAGACCAGAGATGCCAATACTGGCAGTTGGAAAAGGCCCAAGGACATTGAAAA